CTCGTTGAGGTAGAATCGGCCCGAGTTCCTCTCCATCCGACTGAATCACATACTCCACAGAGCAGACACACTCCATAATGAGTTGAACCCATTTCTCACTGAAGCCATATTGGATCATCATAGCCCTTAGCATACCCCATTCGATGCGGTCGTATGCCTTGCTCATGTCTAGTTTGAGGGCAGCATAACCATCACTTCCTTGTCTCTTGTTCTTCAGGTAATGTTGGGCTTCGAATGCGATCATAATGTTATCTGTGATCAAGCGACCTGGAATGAAAGCACTCTGATTTTCTGAGATGAGACCATCCAAGTGAGGCTTCAGTCTATTAGCTTAACATCTTCAGCCTATCAACATATGACATAGGCTAATATCTCCTTCCCCTTCTCTTCACTGTTCAGAGTTGATGGCTGATACGTTTCTCCAGTACCCCTGTTCTTAGCTTATATTGATTGCCAGAAGGTCTATTAAAGAATAACCCATATATAATTCATCTGTTCTAAACATGAAAGAAAAGAAAATCCGGAGGAGCGTAAACGCGACGTCGCTGTTTCATCGTTATGGTCAGACACACTTTTCAACGATCAGCTGTCATGGAGTTTTGGGAGTGTTGGAGAAGATGAATGCAGTGACTTTGGCATGTCATCATCTTCTCATGGAAGCTCAGAATGGCTCATGGATTTGCAAGATTTTGGTGAAGATCAAAGCTGGGCATTATTCCCTGGTAATTAGCCTCCCAAGAACATGGACATGGAGATTCACACACAAGATATAATAAGCTGGAAGTTCTGAATATATAATGGACATGTGATCATCACGTCACATTAATGTATAAACAACAATACTTGGGACAATTTTACAAGTCCTGCAATCGATACATTTTCTCCTTTCCGGCATTGAACCCATTGCTCCCAGCACCCATATTTTGCAGTACTTTGCGCAACAAACTATGTAGGCTTCATTCTTCATGAACATGTTCCTCTTACCACACCGAAAACACTTGTTTGAATCGGTTAAGACTGCTGGCTTTTCTGGATAGTTTCTTCTGTTGCCATGCACGGCCGTGAACTCCAGGCTGAACACGAACAAAAATATGAGGAAACCAACGTGGTCAACGAACGTGATTCGGCAGTCCGGCGAAGCTGCAAGAAGATCAACATGTTCTCCATTATCTTGTTATTTTCACGAACAGGTGTACGCCGGCGACTTGGAGAAGTGTGTAGCCATTACTGCAGGGATATACACTCTGACCAAGCATGAGGATGAACAGGGATGCAAACAGACTGTCTTCCAATTATATTCCTTGGCAGCCATGTAACCAACATCACCCTGAGCGACCCGCCGGAGAAGGCCAACATTGGCCGGAGAAGCCAAATCAAGAAAGTCAAAATTCTGGGAAATCGAAGTACCTATTGAACGGCGAAGTTGGTTGCGAACATCAAGGAATGTTTCTGGCAGTCTCTGAGTGTCATCGCCATGCCTAGGTTGCCGGTGGATGATTGGAGAAGCCCTGTATCCACACGCCGCTAATTCAGCCAGGACACGACTCGTAATTTCAGCTGCCAAATCAGGAGGCTTTTGATTCAAATGAGCCATGGATGTGATCGCCCCGTCTTAGAGAGGAGGATTGCCGAATCAATTCGTCGGAATACGAGACATGTCGCAGTTGCCGGAGAGAACCTGGTCAGCATGGTAGGTTTGGGTGCAGCTATTTTCGAAAAAAGAAAAATAAAAAAATAAAAAAATTCCATGTCAGCATGTTGTTACCGGTAACCTGTAAGAAACCTATAAAAAATATTAGATGAAAAAAAATTAATGGTAAGTGACTCTAAATGTATGTTATGAAAGTTCATGGTGCGACATGAAAAATCTGATATAGTTTGTGGTGCGGGATGACACTTTAGCCTTTTTTTTTTTTTTTTTTTTAATGTTAGTGACTCTATTACAATGTAGTATCTGTTTATAACTATTTCTACTTTCTCAACCTACTGAATCACAAAGAGCAAATAACGTCTGAGCACAAAGTGTTTGGCGGAGTTAAATTTAATTAATTTATAGTAAAATTAAAATTAATCAATTCATACCAATTATTATGTTGTGTAATGATACGTTTGTTACCATTTCAAAGAGGTGATTACATTAGCAAATTCATGCGGTGGGATCATTGATTTTTAGACTAAACAAAATTGTTAAAAAGTATAAAAAAGAATATTAACTTATAAAGAATTATGAAAATTTAAAAAGCATACTCCGTAATAATTAATTCATAAATAACTAATCAATATTAAAGTGCTGGTGTCACTCGATCAGCAATCGTTATACCTGCACTACGGTGTATATAGCACTGTGCGTTTCGCGCCTCGCAAAATAATATTATTTTGGGAGGAGCGGTTGAGAGTTGACGTGATTATGTGTATTTGTTTATATAATTATGTGTATTTGTTTATACAATTATGTGTATTTATTTATACAATTATGTGTATTTTTTATACAATTATGTGAAACGACGTCGTTTTGCATCAGGACGCACAATGCAATGCGCGCCCTGGTGCATGATATAAATTGCCCTCGATCAGCATACCCCGCAATAGTGTCGACTCTATGTGGCTTACCCATAGTGGATTATACACCGAGCTTATAAACGACATCGTTTTGTTTAATGAAAAAAAATAGCACCCTTTTCGCGTCGTTCTGCAAAAAGTAACTCTATTATTCAGTTTCATTTTGTATACACTGCAGTTTCGTTTCAATACAACTACAATTTTCATTTCGATATAACTAGAGTTTCATTTAATTTTAATTTATATATATACACTATAGTTTCATTAAAACACAACTACATTATCATTTTGATATTACTACAGTTTCATTGCATAATATACACTCAAATATGCGAAATATTATTCAGTTTCATTTGATAATATAAAAATAATACGTGAGGCGGTGTTAGTTTATATACACTGTAGTTTCAATACACCAAATATGCACACTTCATTAACTTTAACAACGTGTCATTTTTTTATTTAAAAAAACAACGTTACTTTTGGACCGCGTTCCACAGTATAATTGCTGCTAAACCCATAATTTTATAGCATGGGCTAATAGAATTTTAACCAGCCCAATTGAAACCCACCCCACAAGGGGCCCAAACTCATAATTACGGCAAATTATGCCCTGGACCCGTGTCCATATTGAATTGTGGACACGGGCCCAAAACGACGTCGTTTTTTTTAAAAAAAAACGCGTCATTTAGTTAAAAAAAAAAAATCGCGCGCGTTTTGTCGTTAACGGCGTTAACTGCGTTTTTTTTTGTTTTTTTTTTTTTTTTTTTTATGAATGTACAGTTATGCCGTTATGAATGTACAGTTATGCCGTTATGAATATACAGTTATACAATTATGAAATTATGAACACAGAGCTCTAACATTATGAACTTACAATTATGAACATATATAGGGATAAAATTATGACCATGGAGCTTTAAAATTGTGAATATAGAGCTTCGAAGATTATGAATGTACAGTTATGGAGTTATGAATGTACAGTTATAGAGTTATGAATCTACAGTTATGGAGTTATGAATGTATAGTTAATAACATATAGTAATAAAATTATGAACATATACTATTACAATGAAGCGGTCTGAAATTTTTTTTTTTTAAAAAAAAAAAAAAAAAAAAAAAAAGGAGATAACAGTGCCTAACGGCACTGTTACCCGTGTCCAGCAAGCATGCTGGACACGGGTCCAACGCATAACGATTGCATAATTGCCTAAAGAACTGCTCTCCAACTAGGTGAGTTTACAATTGTTATGTCGAGGAACCTTGGAACCTTGCAGCCATGTTCATAATTACTGAACTTTATATTCATAATTACAAAGCTCTATGTTCATAATTTTTATACTTTCATATTTACAATTATTAAACTCTATATTCACAATTACAGAACTCTATGTTTATAATTATAAAATGTTATGTTCATAGTTTTTAAACTTAACATTCACAATTATTGAATTCTATATGTACAATTACATAACTCTATGTTCATAATTATAAAACTTTATATTTACAATTATGAATAGTTTTAAAACTGTATCCACCTTGTAAGGTGAACATTGTTCCACGGTATAATTTGCGGTGAGTTTAGTTTAACGTAAGTGTACATATGAGTTAGGCCGTTTGAAGTTTGGGTCAATTTTAAATTTTTAATTAAATTCGAACTCGAGCTAAGCTCAAATTAGCTTCTTTTTTTTTTTTTTTTTTTTTTTTTTTTTAATTAAGTCAAGTTGAAGCTTAAATATATTCAATTCATTAACTAAATATTTATAATTTGTATACTACGAACATACAATGTTAACATATATGTAATTAATTACATTGTTTTGTATTTACAAGTTCTTTTCAAATAGTGCAGTCATACGTTTATAGATAAGATTTGAACTCTGTATTATATTTACAAATTTCATTCTATATCTGTTATGCGTTCTGACTTATAAACATAATCTATATTCTAAAAACTCACAATTCTAATATTAAAAATATATAATTTATACATTATTTACGGCCAGGATCTACCTTGGAAGGTGGATCTGATCCATAGTATAACAAGTCATTTTAAATAGGCACTTATACTCCTTAAAAAAACAGTGCTATTGCCACTTTTTGCAAATTATTTTGGTTAGAAAACGCAAGCACTAATTAAAATTCGTTGCATTTATTGACTCACGATCGCGATTTTTTTTGTCGGTTTGTTTTAACATTAAATGCAACAAAAAGGAAAGGCGTTAAACCGCCACCTCCAATATCTGACACTCCGTACAGTAACTGGTAGCGAGACCAGTGAAAATCCGCCACGTCACAGTCAAACCAAAATGACAGAGCAGTCAACCGGTCGTATGCAATCTCGAGTCGCAGGGAATCGGAACTCCATCGTGGGCCACCACCATTGCCACGATCAACAAGACACCAACTCCTCTGTTCCCCTCTATCTCTCATTTCCATTAAACCCGTCAGCCATCACCATGCGACTCTCGCTCGAAGCGCCCAGAGAGACACCGAGAACGAGAATCTAGAGAGGGGGAGGATGCGGAGGGGCGGTATTGATATAGAGAGCGCGGGGGAGAAGAAGAAGAGGGGAGGCAATTACGCCGCGGCAATTGACGGCGACGACGACGGAGATAGCCACTGGGTTTCATGGCTCATCCCTGTGTTCGTCGTGGCCAACGTTGCGCTGTTCGTCGTTACCTTGTACGTCAACGATTGTCCTAAGCATACCAACGGCTGTATGGCTAGCTTTCTCGGACGCTTCTCTTTCCAGCCCCTCCATCAGAATCCTCTCTTTGGCCCTTCTGCTTCCACGTGAGTACACTGTATTCTCGTTTTCTCTCAATCTCATAATTACCATCTGTATTTATGCAGTTAAAGTATGCTTCTTCTTTTTTATTTCTTGGTCTGTTTATATTGGTGGGTTGTGCTTGATCGCATGTTTTTCATTGAAAAGGTGGAGACTTTGTGTTGGCAATTAGGTTTTGCTTCACTAAATGAGTTGTTTGGGTTATTGGGTAGTTTCTTAGGCTAAATTTCACTCTGGGTGAAGTGGAATTTGTACTACTTAGCTCCCACCTATATCAACAGGAATAAAAAGCTAAGTTTCTACAGGATTCTAAGATCCAAGTTGTAATTTTTGCTAGTAATTATGTAAAACTAGTAGGCATTAATCAATCCTCTTATTGTGCTCCATTCTGCCTTCAAAATTTGTTCTCTTTTTGAAAGCTAAGGGAGATTGTATTACTTACGATTGCCATTTTGTTCTTGATGAAGATTAAGGAAGATGGGTGGTCTTGAGTGGGAAAAGGTTGTGCATCATCATCAAGAATGGAGGCTTATATCATGTATCTGGTTACACGCTGGTCTTATTCACCTGATTGTAAATATGCTGAGTCTTGTGATTATTGGCATTCGTCTTGAGCAGCAATGTGGCTTTGGTATGCCGCCCTTGACAACATTCAAGCTCTTGTTGGAACTCCTTTTTTGATTTAGGTTGAACTTTCGTTTTTTTGATCATTTTGTTATTGTATGGCAGTTCGGATTGGAATTGTCTACTTCTTTTCAGGATTTGGGGGGAGTGTGCTTTCTTCGTTATTCATACAGAGGAGTGTATCTGTTGGTGCTTCGGGGGCTCTTTTTGGGCTTCTTGGAGCGATGCTTTCTGAGCTTCTTACTAATTGGTCAATTTATACCAACAAGGTGGGCGAGAATGCGAGCTACATTTCTGTCTAATCGTCCTCTCGCACTCTCCTAACTTTCATTTCTGCTGTTGATAGGTTGCTGCTTTACTCACACTTCTGGTGATAGTGGTCTTGAATCTTGCAGTCGGAATCCTGCCACACGTTGACAATTTTGCCCACATCGGTGGATTCTTGACGGGTTTCCTTCTTGGCTTTGTCTTGCTGCCCCGGCCTCAGTTAGGGTGGATAGAACGTAGTAATCTTCCACCCGAGATTCGTGTCAAATCCAAGTACAAGCCTTACCAATATGCGCTGTGGTTGGCATCTCTGGTTTTATTGATAGCAGGGTAACTCCACACAAGTTTCTTGGCTTTTAGTCTTTTACGTTTAGTTTACACGGGTTAACATGTTCTTAAAACAACGAATTGCAGGTTTACAGTAGGTTTGGTTATGCTGTTCCGCGGGGAGAATGGGTATGATCGTTGCCATTGGTGCCGTTACCTGAGCTGTGTGCCAACTAGTCAATGGAAGTGTGATGCCACTTGATCTTCATTAGTTGTAGATCCTATAGTTTGTAGAGTGTTTGTGTTTACTTCCCTCTAAGAATTTATGTCTGGGTGATTTTACTATGTTTTTAAAGCACGATAGCAGAAAATTTTTGCACTGTTTCTTTTAGCTTTGCTTTTGTTTCAGTAGTACACAGAACTGTTTGAGTAGATTAAGGTATACTTTGAGGAGTGAGTGATATATTATTCCAGGATCTTGGTACAAGTCATCAAACATTTACATGAAACATGGCAGGCAACAAAAAACATTTCAAGCTAAATCCTCACTGTCTCAACCTAGGCGACTGGATCCTGGATAAGCCTTGCTGCTGAGGCTAGGGCGAGAGCTCGAGCTCCATCCCTTTTCTGAGATTGTGTCTGTGTCGCGAAGAATGTTTGCCAGCTTCATCTGCATTCTTTGCCTCGGTGCACTCTGGGACCTTGCTTTCGCCAAGGATGACTCCGTGTAAGCCATGAAGTTTGGGTAGCTCGGGTAGCCATAGAACGTGGTACATGGGAACTGACTTGTGGTAGGGGCGAAGGGGCCTCGTCTTTGGCTTCCGGTGCTGCTCCCGGGTCTTGGGCTGTGCTCGAGTGTCCATGAAGCAGCTGGCTTTTTGGGTTCTTGAGGGAATATTATCGACTTTAGAGACGAGACTTCTGCAGAAGAAAGACTAGGACTTGGCTTCTTTGTATTAGAATGCCTTGGCATAGAGTAGTTGTTGGTTCTATTTCCCTGCCCACTGTCATTCCAAGCCGAAAAATACTGTGAATTCTGTGAGATTCTATTGCTTCCACTTGGGTTCTGGCGAGGCTTCCAAGTATCAATCTCGAGTATCTTGTCACTCTTCTCATCATCAGCTCCCCCGTCCTTGAGGGAGGAATTCTCGTAATTGTTCCATGCATGTTCTTCCATCCAACGATCTAACCATTTTGAGCCCATGCTTACATTCTCATTCATATTCGATTTGGAATAGCAACTCTGTATTTAACAGACCAAAGGAATTTGTTCGATAATAAAGAAATAGGAATCAACAGAGACAGAACCAACAACCTAGTTCTCGGAATCCACAGAGACCCAAAATAGAAAATTGTTTTTTGTCACAATAAAGAAAAACAAATTCGTGTGAATTAAAGTGAATACCTTCAAATTTGAGCTACGATGAGTAGAACTGTAGGAACGTTGTTGCAGGTCATGTTTATCGCGAGATGCAATACCCTGCAGATAATTGGAGGTAGAAGACATTTACTAATCAATACAAAACTGCAATCAAATGTATTCGAGCCATTGTGAAGGGCGCATCATACTCACAGGGCGATGAGTTTGTGAGGCCTCGTTGCTAGAGTGAGAACAGTCAGAAACTAAAGCTCGACTCGAGCAGGCCCGGGCTTGAATTCGAGCCATTGCCTGCATGCGCCTGAGCATATCTGCACTTTGTTTCCTGACTATGCGGCCTCTCACGAGTGCTTGAAGTTTTACCAGTCCCTTGAGTGCCCTTAACGCCTTCCTAGCCTACAAATGCACCTCTAAAAATTACCAAAAAAAAACATAATACACAACAGGAGACCTGTCACACACTCTAAATAAACAACTCATGATGGTTGAACGATGAATGTTTTAACTACTAAGATCAAGCAACTGACTTTGGATTAGCGGACAAGATTCCTAGTACATCATTATGAAACATGGAATCAGACCGAACACTATAAAGTATGTCTCACAGGTAGTTGAGACCTGTTTCAAAACCATGTTTTTTTTTTGACTGACAAGGGAAACCCCTCAAATGCCCACAAGAGATAAACCAGCCTAAGTTGTCATAACTGACCAGTTCAAACCAAGAAGGTCAATTGGTCGCCATAACTTCTTCCTCACTTACAGGAAGTATTAGACTTTTCTTCATGGGATTATACCTTTAATAAAGTTGATGTTGGTTAGGCAGTCATTATCATAGAACAGCTCCATACATTAAAGATCATAGTACTGATAGAATAAGTCATAAAACGTGGTGGTCTACACCTTTGAAATGGCTGGTAGATTGTCTTCCACACTAATCATAGTACCATTAATTGATTACATGGGAGACTGAGAGATGAGTACCAAGGCACATAAACCAAATATGACAGATACAAGGATATCTGCCTGCAGACAAGTCCAAAAGTACAAAAAACACAGTAAAAAAAAAAAAAAAAAAAAAAAAAAAAAAACTAAATTAAGGTTGGATCAGAATCCTATTCAACCCCATGACAATGATTTGGGAGTCAAATGAGCTTCCACCACAAAATAAATTGTCTACAACAAAGACATTATTCATGTAACTCACCATAAAGATATTAATGTCCAACATAGGTTGTATTCCAACAATTAATATGAATGTTTGATTAATTAGCTTTTTGTAACAGCTGATTGCTCCAAAATGGTAAAATTCAAAAAGCTGTTCAAAGTAGCTTTTCCCGTCAGCTTTTCTAACCGCTACTGAACCAAACATTTTTCTACAATCAACCAATCATGTGTCCTTACCCCACTGAGCTGCCCTGCCCGTGCAGGCAAGATAGCATCAATCTTGACTAGGAAAGACATATCAGGCTAGGTAAGTCATAAGTGTAGTTGAGGTAAAAGTTGTAAAAATGGTTTCTTTGGGGTAAAAGAAAGGAATTAAACAAAGGGTAGAATACTAGAATGATAATCACCTCAAAAAGATAGATTTTTCAGAGAAAAATGTCAACTTTCACACGCCAAGTAAAGGTACTAACCAGATACGCTCGAAATTCTGACTGTATTTTAACCGCAGCCGCCCAATCACGGCGCCGTTTAACCAACGCCGCGGTCCCATTCCCTCCGCTCGTCAACCTCACAACCTCCGCGGCAGCCTGGGCCGCCGCGAGGGCCGCCTCCGCCACCACCGCGGTGGCGGCAGCGACAGCTATCGCGTGCTTGTTAGCGTCCAAAGACTCCACGGCGTTGGAACCCGGAGAAAGATCGTCATTTGCATGACTGCTGCGAGGCTCTCCGGGGACTCCGCCGCTGTTTCTGGCACCGGAATTGGAAGAAGAGCTGCAGAAACCCGGCGCCGTTGCCTTCCTCTTATTCTTATCCTTAGCCGACGGTGACGACGGCTTTTTGGAGCCCAGAAGCTCGCGAAACCATCTGGTGACTTTACCCATATATCATTGCCACTGTAGATTTGAATATAAACAGTGTAGATATAGAGAGAGAGTGAGTGAGCGGTGTGTATATAAGAGGGTGATAGATGGTGGTTGGGGAATGGGACCGACGATATACAAAGAGTCAAAGACGACGAGTTTTGACAGGTAAGACTTGAGTCGGTTCCTTCTCCAATCTCCATATACGGATCACATTTTTGTATCTATTTAGATCTATACACATTCCACACTCAATATCTTGTATCTATTTCGAAGATATTACATTTATATATTAACTCGACTCGCTTTATATAATAAAAATTTGTGAGGCAATCTCAATAGAGAATCACTCATATCAAATTACTTACCAGTTTGAAATTAATTGAATTTATTATTTTAGTGCATTTAGATTATTATATAAGATTAATTTTTAGTGAATGCATACTATTAGTTTTAGGATTTTTGGAAGCCTACTGGAGATTTAATACAATCACGGGGAAAATATAAAAAAAAAAAAATGAATAATTTGTGTTGCTGGAAAGTAGAATATAAAAAATAGACAGAAAAAGAATATGACACGATAATTTTTAGGTGGAAATCAAATAGAAAATCACGTCTTTTTGAGATGTGTCAAGCTGAAATTCACTATTTTTATAGGTGTTTAGGTACATGTGGTATTGTGTGTACATAGGGAGGGAGTCTTCCTCTTAAAAAATGGGGTCTTTCTTGTGGTGAAAAATAGAGTCTTCTTGTGTGAGGAAGAGTGATGAGAAAGAGTCCTCTAGTATGAAGAATAGTGACTATGTCCCCCTCATTTGTGCTCTTGAATCTTCTTTTATAATAACCAAGTGAGTGCCTGACTGGTGGTTAAAGATTATAGTCGTTGGTGGGTAATTAGTGGGGAATTATGGGTAATAAAGGGTGGTTTAATAGGGTAGTAAATAGGGTGATTACTGTTAATTATTTGAGATGGGAGCTGGTGTTTTGTTTGAGAGAACGGAAGAGAAATACGGGGTTATGGTAATTGAAAATAATGAAGGGATTTTAAGGGTGTTTGTTGGGTAATTAATAGGGAAATAAGTGTGTGATAATGGGGTAATAATTAGGTGGTTCGACTGGGACTATGTGGTTCGACCCAGTTTTTATACCCGGTATACATCACAAACTATTTTCGGATATTAATTATATATTTTCTTAATTACAAAAATATATTTATGATCTATATGAACTTTATTGCAAAATTTGAAATGCCAATTCACTTTTTCTTTTGATTTTTAATCTCAAATTTAGTATTTAACATAATTACATTTTAAAAAAAAAAAGTATAAGTGTTTAACTAACATAAAATACGAAGTAAAGTAATAGAGAAACTTTATAATTGCATGTATTTTACAAAATTGTGGTTAGGGAGCAAAGTACAACTTCTAAAATATAACGTACAACTTTGAGAAGAATATATCATTGTAATTCAAGATATTATAAAAAAAATTAATATAAGAAATTGTATTGTAATTTGTAAAAAGGTAACATTTATTTCAAGTTAAGTTGAATTTTTATAGACCGAGTTAATAAATTAGCAAGCTAAAATTTACAAAACAGATTTAATCTTTATATGGAATTATTACATTTAAAAAGTTTTACAATAATTATAATAGCCTAATATTTTTTTTACTTAATAAACTTTCAAGAGAAAATGATTTATTTTTTTTCATATAACATTCGATATCTCTAGTGAAAACTATTTTGGAGAGTCTAATACAAATTCATAGTTACGTTAATAGTTTGTTTTCTGCTAGATTACTAAAAATGATAATTTGGTATCCTCATCCAATAGGATAAGAGTAATTTAAATGCATTTCAATCGTGCTGCAACTCTTCTAAGGTGTTACTATATAAAGATGTACTCAAACTTTACACGTCATTATAGATGGAGGGTGTGTTTGATTCGAACAACATCAGAATGAATAGTTATCAAATCCATAGTAAATTAGTGATTGTATGGGTTTTGAGGAAAGTATTTTGCATATTTAGTAGTAAGGTGGAATTAAAATGATTATTAATATTGATGTTTTGGTTATTTATGATCCTATAATGAGAATAAAATTTTTAAAATATAAAAATAAAAGATCAAGACAATTGATCCTATTATAATGACATAAAAACACGAATATGAACAAAAAAAAAAAAATCAAAACAAAAATCTAAAAGCACTAATCCAAACTTAAAAATCATATCACCAAATTAGATGGAATTATACCTTTTTAAAATAAGAAAAAGATAATCAAATATCATAATTGTGTTTTAAAAAGTTGTCAACCTAACACTAACTATGATTTTAATTTCCACTCCTAGTAAGTAAATCCATGAACCAAACACACCTTAGTCTTGAACTTTTTAGGTAAGTGGAATATTAACAAAATCTCAACGTTAGAAGCCAAAATCTGTCTTTTTCCAAAACAAAACTTGCACCGACAATAAACTTTACCAAATGTGTCATTTGTGCATGGGTCGTGACATTTGCACAATTGAGTGGTTGGGACTAGCTTGACATAGGCTGCTGATAAGAACAAACTTTTTGAGACGGAAACAACGGCAAAGTGCATATATATACACAATTAAATTTACCAAAAAGTACACAACGAAACACAGCCAAGGCTCAAGGCCAAGTGAAGGATACAACATCACAGGAGACATGGAAAAGGAGGAATGAAGATGCATAATCAAACCAGCCTCAGATATATAATTGCCTACACTGACCTGCTTCAATCTCAGATGGGCAATAAGGGCATTTGAAAGGCCGTGCGCTGTTGTTCTTGGATAGCTTTGCGATGGATTGCTTACAAAGAACATGCCCACATGACAACAACATTGGTGGGTTGTCATCGGTTGCCTGATCCCGGCTCACAGGACACACGAAGATGGAATGAAATTGGAATTCTCTGTCCAGGTCGACGGGAACTGGCAACTGTTTCATTGATTGCCATTCCTGCCTTTTCATTGTCATCAGATTTGCTAGCTTCAGAAGAGTTGGCAGCCCCTGAACTCCAGCTGCAATTGTCACGCTCAAGGGACTCTCATAGGATTGGCCTATGAGATTGCAGAATTCGCGGGTAAGCTCCTCTGCCAGTTTGTCCCAATGTACAGGGGACAGAAGATCAGAGTATGGTGAGGAATCAAGTTTTCCAGCCCATAAAAGACAGGCCATGAGCTTCTGGACTTCTGACATGTATTTGGCACCAAAGGGTGGGAAGACAGTCCTAGCATAATCTAGAGCCTCGTCTCTACCTCTGTTTTGTAAAATTTCCACAAAATGTTGGCGATGAAGTTTCATTTCGATATCAGACCCACTCTGCTCAAGTTTCTCATGGTTTGCGGCAGCCCAACTCAGAGCAGGTTGCAGGTTCCGAGATCGCATGGCTTCAAGGATTCGGTATATTTCCAAGAAAGGAGACTTACTGGCTGCAGCTTCTGGTTCCATTGACTCATCTATAAAACAATCACCAATATCAAACAGGCCATCGCGATAGAAATGACTAGCAATTATCTGGTTTACCGTATGGATATCACCATCAACATTTCTGTAGGCCTTTGATATATCAGGAATGAAGGATTTTTCAAGTATCTTTAGATACTTGCTTAATGCAATGTTTAGCTCTTTCTGTGTGCTTTCCAGATGAGTCAATGGAGCAATATCCTTCAACTTGGCCTTTAGCTCAGTAAGGACGACCCTGTGATTGGTTGGTGATGCATCATTAACTGACTGTAATCTGATTAGAGCCTGTTCTATTTCTAGGCCAACTTGTTCTATTATTTCTTGAGATTTAGAAGCCGATAGCCTCTTATTATTTGTCACCCGATCAAAAGCATCTTTGATGCTATTCAGCTCCATTTCCATTTCTTATCTGTCAGAGATCTTCTTGTTAATAGCAGCTTATGTACTATTTACCACCAAGAAGAAAAGAGAACGGTAGGATCAGTTTTTTGATAGCCTCTGCATTGATTCAATGGATTGTCAAAACTCAAAACCAAGAAGAAAGAATAAGTGAAGAACAGAAAAATATCACCATGGAGCCTGTGACAGACAACCATGCATCAGTCTGCTTTATACACGAAATAGAATCCATTTATCATATTCTGAATGCTGCATTAACATTAAAACTAAAAACACAATCAAATTTATTGCAAGCAACTTTGGTATGACAAATGCAAGCATATAAAAAATGAATTATGACTAAATTAACGCCAACAGGTATTCTTAAAACTAGGAATCAGAGAAGACTATCAATAGGGCAATCTATCAGAACTACTTGTGCAACATTAAGCTCCCAACCATTGAACAAGAATCACTTTTATAGACAGCAAAAGGGCATTGCAGTCCAGTGTCATTGACTTGAGAACTTATGTAAAAGGCATCTGAGTTCAATTCCCCTTCCCCTCAGATGTAAATTTAAAAAAGAAACAAAAAAAAAAAAGGGAAATTGTAGCGAGGATTGAGGAAAGTGAAAAGCAAAATTCAGAAAACTGGGTTTAGAACATAATGTATGGATACACAGTAAACCCTCTATGTCCTTTGTCCTGTCTCTAACTTCTTTGAGTTATATTAAATGTCCTATTAAAGATTCCTAACCACTAGTGAATATGGTTTTTCATTGTCAAGAACTCCCAAGGGACATATATCATTTGTGGGTACAACATCCTATCCAGCAAAACAATAAACTGCACATTGAGTTGCGTAAAACAAGTATTAATAATATTAACACACTCAGTACATATGCAGATTATACTTCTTTTATTTTCCAGGAAATTCTATCACCTGAATGGTGCATATCTTGGTTCAACAAACAGGAGACAAGGGGAGCCATTATACCTCCCTCCAAATTCACAAATACTATCAATTACTTGTGGTAAATGATTTTTTGAAATAACTGCATCTATATTAATGAAGAAAGATGCGTTAAATCTTAGAGAATACTACACCAGAGGAGTTTCACTCAAATCCAACATACTCTTATGAATGTCAGGCATGATGTAATGACCAATCGCTTGGCCATTGACCATATCGGGTCATGAGTTCAAGGACTGAAAATAAGTTCCATAAAAATAGATCACAATGAATAATACATCTTGATTCCCAAATTAAACCTGGCATGATGTGAGAGTACTGTGCTCTAAATCTATCCTTTATCCAACTACCTACATCACCTTTTATTCTTCAAGTGGGGTAAGTCATGGGGAAGAGTTTTTCACAGGCTAAGCCAATAACATCGAGGCAAGTACAGAGAAATTAGTTATATAGTTTCATTTATATAATTATATCATTAAGAATGTATTATACTAAGATGCAGGTATTTAAACACAAAAATGCATAATCATTAGTCATTAAATCCCTAAATGCCTCAGCTCAAAGAAACAAAAGACAATCCACTAGCAGCGGTGAACATATATAACAACTTCAACGAATTATCAACCTATGCGGCTATGCCATATGATTTGCACACAATCTACCACCCAGGAATCAACTGAGCTGTCGTGCCTAAAATAGCTACCATGCGTGGGTTCCCGCACATCAGCATTATAACCTTTTACAGAAGTGCAATAAATCCTTTACAAATATGCTAGATGGACACCAACATTAGCGCACAAAACTCAAAACTCATATTATGCCTTCCACAAGGAACTCCAGTAGCTGAGAATTTCTAAGCCCGAAGAAAACAAGCAGTGCAATTAAGCGACTCAAATCAAGCCGAGTTTCCACCAATCAGGACGAAGATGAAAACAATAAATAAATCATAGCACATGAAACACATATTTTATACAGTATAATACTATGCAGATAACATCAAAACCTGTTAGGATCAGCATCAATAACTGCAAGGAATGATAACAACACCGATATGAAAACAAATGATTTCGCTAATTACAAGTAAAATAGACAAAAAATTTTATAATTTTGGCATATATTAGCAAAAAAAAAAAAGAATAAATTAAAATGAATGAATGAAAGTAGAAAGAAAGAAGTATCGCTAACCCGGGAAGGAATATTGGCAGTTGAGTTGAAGTGTGCTCCGCTGTGTGAATTGCTTGCGTGGGATCTTAGTCATCTCTTTTCATTTCCACAAGGATGGAATGATTGAGTGGTATATTTACGTAAATGCCCCACAATTTTTCTCTATTTTCTTGCACTATCCCTTTTTTTTTTTTTTTTTTTTTTTTTTACATTAAAGGGGGTGTTTGGTTGGATGGAAAAGATTTTCTAGGAGTGTAGAAAAATGTTGTTTTATGTTTTTTCGTTGAATGAAAAATATTTTTCATTGGAACTTGACTTTCAAAAGATTTAGAAAAACAAAATCCTAGCAAAGGATTGGTATTTTATTTTTCAAAAGATTTGGGGAAGAAAGTATAACACAATTGGACTATTTTACCCTCATCAAATTTTATTAATTACACACACACACACACACACATATATATATATATATATATATATATATATATATATATATATATATATATTACTGTTAAGGACATATTAGTCTTTATATTCATAATTCCTTACAATTCCAAATCCAACCAAACAATGGAATTTATGTTCTCAGTAATTTCTTTTCCACCAACCAAACAACATAATCTATTTTCCTGGTAATTTATTTTCCATGGAATTTGAATTCCATTTCCCTTAAAATATTTTCCAACAAACCAAACGGGTGTGTTTGTTTCATGGGTTTAGACACTATGAATGAGAATCAAATCATAGTTAGTATTTGGTTGATTTTTAAGTTGGATTAGTGTTTTTATGTTTTTGTTTTGCTTTTTTTTTTTTTTGTTTTGTTTTTGTTTTTGTTTTTTTTTTTTTTTTGTTTGGTGCTTTGGATGTTATTATATTATGATCAATTGCCTTGATTTTTTGATTTTGTATTTTTAAAACCTTTATTCTCATTATAAGGTCATATATAACCAAACATCAATATTGATAATCATTCCAATTTCACTCTATTACCAAACATGCAAAATACTTCTACAAAAACCATACCATTACCAAGTATTTGATTCCCATTCTGATTCTAATTCCCATGTGCGAACCAAAATACCCTAAGTTTCCCAACTTACATTAGAGTAATTCTAAATTCTCAGAATCCATGCTCAAGTCACCTAGTTAATTGAATGTACACTAGAGGAGATAAATCGCGAACCGCACAATTAGTTCTCAATTTCCATCCATGCATGTATATTTTGCACATAAGCAGTATTCATCACCTTTGATCAATTTTTTGAACTTTGAGTCTCCTAGTGACCCCCCATGTCTTCAGCGGAACCGAACTTCCACCGTATCGTTGGAGCATGACTTCCAAGGTGACCACTCTTAAACTATTAAGTTAAACCAGACATGGCTATTTGTTTTGTTTTTGTTTCTAATAACACAAGTTTTTGTCTTCGCGATAACTGTACTAAAATATATCAAAGACTTTAAGTAAATTAGGTCAATCTAGTTTCAAAATTCAATATAATTATGTAATTTTACTCAACCCAAAATCCCAATGTATGTTCTCGACAATGATTGAACATCTACCCTACCACTAGAACCACGTTTTTAAGTGAGACACCTCAACTACTAGACCAGTGCCATGCCATTATGGGAGCCCTAAATTATTATTATTATTATTTTTTTAAGAAAATGATTCTCACCCCTACAATTTGTCTGTCCCTCTGATTATTTATTTTCTTGTATTATTAGCAAATTAACTTATCTCATCTTGTGGTCCAATGGTACCAAGTTGAACTCTCACATGAGAGGTTGTGGGTTCGACTCTTTAATTCAAGTTAATTCTATCTATTTATTAAATAGATGACACTTTAAGCAGTAATTAATGAATAATGGCAATTATAGGAGTCTTTAGCATAACCATTAATTTTGTTTAGAGTTGAACATTAATGACAAATAATATGGAATATTAAATTAATTAAAGAGCATAACCATTAATTTTGTTTAGAGTTGAGCATTAATGACAAATAATATGGAACATTAAATTGATTAAGGATTTAAAGATATGCTTACAAGTATTATGTAGTGTGACACATTTGTTACATTCAAAATAGGTGGTCACATGATCAAACTACCACCGGGGTACCAATGTACCATACCATATTAATTGAACTTATAAAACAAATACTACCTTGTAAAGATTAATCATGAGTGTTTTAAAGATGTACTAAATATTGCCTATACCATATTGATTGAACTTGGTATACATGCTTTTTCACTAATACTAAGTAACTGATATAATTATATAAAGTATAAAACATGAATTTCAAATAGTTTGAATTAATCATTATTTATCATAACCAACTTGGTTGATGTTATATGCTATATTATAGAAGTTAGATTAATCTTTTTTTTTTTTGAAAAGTAGATTAGATTAATCATTTTTAATTCTTCAGTTTTCCAATCATTGAGAGACAAAAACGTAATTTCATTTTCCGTTTTGACACATTCCTTGTTGCAAGCAAATGATTCAGTGGACTCATATTTAAAAATACACAATTTACATACTAAAATGTTTACAATTTATTACATACTAAATGTCCAGAAAAATTGTGAACATTTAGTGAGTAAATTATAAATATTTAATATGTAAATTGTGTATTTTGGACTCAAATTCACATTACAAAGTGTATTCGCGTCCATAGTATAGCTACTGTTATTGGCGCTATCTTCACTCTTTTATTTTTGGAGATTTTCGTGCTCGCAAAATGCAAAATGCAAAATGCAAAATTCTCCTACCTTCTTGTTATTATATTCTGACCAAACACAATAATGGAATTTTATTATCTAATACTGTAATTAAATGAGTTGTCCGTACAGTCTATTTATGGAGAATTTTATAATACGCGACCACGATACCCGGCCGTCCTCACAGTTATTACAGGGTCCCCGCCTCAGACAATACTTCCCTTTCAAATATGACTCGGCCAAACCAAAAAGACGAATCGATATTTTTAGTTTCGTCGTTTTATGTGATTGCTCGCCGGCGATTAGAATGTGAACGGACCCCGGACAGGATTGCGTTAATGCCATGGCGTCACCGTCACCGTTTTTGCTTGCAAATGCATCCGGAATTCGATGTAATTGAGTTTGAATCCTTCCAACTTCAAGCCTCCCGGGAGCTTTCCTCCGCTTCCAATCCATTGCTATTAGCATCGTGAAATGTTTGACTGTGACTCACGTTTCGACAATGATGTCGCGTTTTTTGATTGCTTGAATATTTTGAAGGATTTGTTATTAGTTTTCGGCAAGCGTAACGACATGCCTCATTGCATCGTATTTTGCTCAGAGGTTTGAATTCGTTGTTGTTTTTGGGAAGGAGTTAAGTTTGGATTGGTTAGTTTAGCTTATTAGTTTTTTTGATGTAGGATTTAGAGCTTGAGAATTTAGCTGGTGCATTGTTTCATCTTCGTTGATATTGGAGAATGTTGAATTTCAAGTGAATTTTGGTGTGGATGGTGGTTAAACATGCCAAGCATTAAAGCTCCAACTAGCAGAAAAGCAACTACTCTTACCGTTAGTGTTTTTCCTTTCATTGTTATTTTCTGGATTTTATTGCGTGCGCTTCTTTGTTCTCATGGTTGTTCTCTTCTGATATAGGTTGCTGTAAAATGTAGACCTCTGTTGGAAAGAGAGCGCGGTCGGAATATAGTAGAAGTGAACAATGATAATGTAAACTATTTTTTCTGTTCCGTACACTCCATTTTCCTGAATCTGATTTAATAATGATTTGATTATAACTTTTACTTATCTACACGGGAAGTTTCTAGTTATCTGGTCTTTCTTTCCTTGCACATATTGCATTTCAAATGAAATTTTTTGCCAATGCACAATAATGTGAATGCAGGAGGTACTTGTTCTGGATCCTGACCTGTCAAAGAACTACCTGGACCGGGTACAGAATAGAACCAAAGAGAGGAGATATAGTTTTGATCATGCGTTTGGACCTAATTCCAACAACTGGGTATGCCTTCATTTTTTCTCTGTTTTTGGTGAAGGTATTTGTATTCATTTTAAAATCAATAGCTTACTGCCTTACTGCTAAAGCAATGCAAAAGAATGAACTTCCTCTTGAAATTGTTTTGAAACCATTATTGACTTCAGACATCTACTTCATTTGTGTGTGTGTGTGTGTGTGTTAGTCACCAGCTCACATGCTCTCTTCTAAAAACTTTAGAATTTGAAGTGAAGCTGAAATCCATCTGTATCAATCCAGTGGATTGGTTTGATTTGCCTTGTTAGTTGTTACCTGTCCCATTGATTTAATATTGTAGCCACCCCCCCCCCCCCCACCCCCCCCCCCCTCTCTGCGCCAAGTACATCAGTGCAGTTTCTTCATTCAAAGCAATCAATTGTAGTTTAATCTCAAATCCAGGTGTTTATTAAATCTTGCTAATGTTCAAACACCAGGCACTCACTAGCATATTGACATTGAACAAGGGAGAATTTGAATAACCTAGAAGAGTCTTCTGTAACCTTTCGCTGAAATTTTATAGTCATATGTTGCTCATGCAAAGTCACAGTTTTCTACTTTAGTAGGTTGAGGTGTCAAAATTTTATGATACCAGTATCTCTCATTCATGGGACTGTACTCATTGCATAAAGTGCCTCTTCCTTCACAGTCAATGCTTTTTTACCCTAGAAATGATTACTCAATTTACCAGTGCTGTCCTTGCTCAGGATGTCTACAAGAGAAGTATTCGGCCTACAGTTGTTGGGGTCATTCAAGGCCTCAATGCGACTATATTTGCTTATGGTTCAACAGGCAGGTATACAGAATATACTAGAGCATCTCATATTCCATTCCTAAGGTCAAGGGGACCATTACACTTTTCGGATATTGGTGCTTTGATTTCTGCGATTTATTGTATCTGTTCATTTCATTCCATTTCTTATTTCAACAAAAAAGAGCAACTAACTTATACTGCTCTTCTTCTAACATTGGTTGAGTACTTATTATTTTGCAGTGGTAAAACATACACAATGGTTGGGACACAAGAAGACCCTGGGCTTATGGTTCTGAGTCTGAATTCAATTTTTGATCTTATCAAACAGGATGATAGCTGTGACAAATTTGAAGTTACTTGCTCTTACCTTGAAGTCTATAATGAGGTGGGAAGTTTCATCCGTACATATACATATTAAGTAGTTGAATCTTGAAACTGTAGACACAACTTCTGTTGTTGAGTGCAGGTTATTTATGACTTACTTGAGAAATCATCTGGCCACTTGGAACTTAGGGAGGATCCAGAGCAAGGAATAGTGGTAGCTGGTCTTAGGTGTATCAAGGTTTGAAATCTTGTTATTGGCCAATTTTGAAATGTGTATGCAACTGTTCAAATGATTGAGCAATTTGGATAAGAAAGAATGAAACAGTAAAAGTATCTGTATTGCATTATAAATTTCCTAATTTGTGCTAGTCATCAACATAAAAATTAAATTTCCTAATTAGGTCATGTAATTTCTGAGCCATACTCTAAATTGATATAGAGTTATACTCTATTAAGGTTTGAAATTTATTGGACAACAATTTTAGAATGTGCCTCTATTCCTTCCCTCTTTTACTAATTAGAATGCATATTTAGGACTTGTACCTGTATGCTTTTTAGCGTCCTTACATGTCCATTGACCTTGCTACTTAAATCTAGGTGAACTCAACTGATAAAATTCTCGAGCTTTTAAATTTGGGGAACAGTAGGCGAAAAACTGATAGCACAGAAGTCAATCTGACATCCTCACGGTGAGTAAAACAGATGCTTCTAGTGGGTATGCATAGAATATTCTCATGCAGGGGTTGGAAATGTGTATAAACTGTGTCAATAATTCATGAAAAGTAAAATATTCACTTCCGAAAAGTAAAAGGAATCACCAAAAGAAGAAGAAATCAACAAAACTATTCAGTGTTTTAACAAACTAATTACTTGAAACAAATAACTTCCAGTTTCTCTCCCTCTCTCTCTGTATAAAATTTCTATTTTTACAACACTTTCTCAAACAACACCATTAGTAATTTAATAATATGAGCATAGACAATGACCAATGCTCAAAGGAAAAGTTCAACTGTAGTATCTATTGACAGGTCGCATGCAGTGCTGGAGATAACAGTAACAAGGAAACAGAGTAACAAGTATCCCAATCAGGTTATGAAAGGAAAACTTGCACTTGTGGATCTAGCTGGAAGGTCTGCCTCCCTCCCCTTTCCCTCTTTTATCCTACAGTTCCTTCCCTGCTTAAGTCTATAGTACAGCTGTCTGAAAGGAAATTTATGATGCAGTGAACGAGCATCTGAAACCAATAGTGGGGGTAAGAAGTTGAGAGATGGTGCCAATATTAATAGATCACTTCTTGCTTTAGCAAACTGCATAAATGCTCTCGGAAAACAACAGAAGAAGGGTCTTGCTTATGTTCCTTACCGTAACAGGTATCTATATTCTTATAGTAGTATGAAGTCTTCATCCTATTGATTAATGAAAACTAATCTCCAGATTTTTCTAGCAAATTGACACGTATTCTTAAAGATGGCCTGAGTGGCAATTCTAAAACGGTAATGATTGCCGCTATATCTCCAGCAGACAGTCAGTACCACCATACTGTTAATACCTTGAAATATGCTGACCGGGCAAAGGAAATTAGGACACATGTTCAGGTGAGAGTCCAATATCTTATAGTACAGATTCTAGGCAGTGTATGACCATATCAGGATTTATTGTAAAATTGATTGCAGCACATGATTGAAATAGAACTGATTTTTCAGCTTTTTCCTTGTGATGCTCTTTGTGTGTTAAGAGGTCATTAATTTAATCCGATTGGTACTCTCTCCTTGATTTATGTTGTAATTTGCTGTCTTAATGATCTCCCTATAATAAGATACTAGAAGTTTGTACCTGTCTGTATGTTCTTGCTAGTGAACAACTCAGGCCATGCTTGGCATGTAGGACTTATATTGGAATGAATCACGATGATCTCTCTAATTCTTTTTCTTCATTTGGTATGTCCATTTCTTTGAGTCATGATTGCTTAGGAGTTAGGAATCACCATTCTATTCCATACCACATCTTTCCTTTTACTAGGCTTCAGGCATATTTCATGGAAGAAGGATTTAAAATATATTTTTCCTTGAATCAAGTTGGCTCTGATTAAATAATATCAAAGCTTTGACAATACTCATTCCATTCTCATCTGTTGCAATTCCAACATACCAGATGTAACCTAGACCAAAATGGGAAATCTTCTCTGGTCCAATGTCTGATTCATGCAATGGTGCTCACAGCTAAAGATTCACATTATAGAAGCTACAGAGTATCCTTTTTATTTAGCAAATTAGCATTTTCAGAAACCTGAAAAACTGGAACTCTAAATCTACCAGGCTACCAGCTTCATAGTTCAAATGTTTCTGACGTTAATACATCTATTGCTGGTTACCAGTCCCAATGCAAGTCAAGATTGGTTCTCTTTTTGATAGGCCTCTTCATTTGCCCTTAATTCATGGTGATAATTTGACATAAATCGCAATAAAGTTCATCAATTGTGATGCATTCGTTTCTTTTCCTGCTTTCAGAAAAATGTTGGCACAATCAACACACATGTTTCAGACTATCAAAGAATGATTGATAGTCTTCAGGTAAGCTCATTGATGTATTATAATTTTTTTTAAATTATTATTTTGGTATAAAGTTTGTGTTTTAATCAGACATGGTTTCCTTGCAGAATGAGGTTAGCCAACTGAGAAAGGAAGTAGCTGACAAAGAATCCCAACTAAATGCCAAGCCTACTGAAAAAAATATGGATGATGAACTTTCTTGGTTCGACATGTTGAGCCACGAAACTAGTGAAAATGTTCAAGATAGGATAAATTTGCAGAAGGCTTTGTTTGAGGTTGAAGAAATCAATATTCGTAACCGCAGTGAACTTCAGCATCTTGATGATGCAATTGCTAAAGAACAGGTGTGCAGTCTTTTCCTAAGATATGTGTTGCTGCTCTTCTTCTTAATTGCACCCTCTATTAGCTGGTGATGTATATACATAGAGTTAACATGAATATCACATTCTCTATTTTCCCTCCCAGGCTATTGAAAGAGAAGGAGCAGCTGTGCTGGCTCTAAGAGCAAGGCGTCAGATCATTCTTGATAACATTCGTGACAATGATGAACTTGGTGTAAATTACCAGAAGGTGGAATCCCCTGCTGGTGTCCCTCACTTTTAAAAGTTTTGATCACTGTACTCTTTTCCCATGCATAAAGTCCATCATAATGCAGGAGATTGAAGCAAATGAGAAGCACAAGTGTCAGCTACAAGCCATGATTGAGGAAGCCATAAACAACAATGGAAACAAAACGTACTTAAGAATTCTTAGCCAATACAGGCTCCTGGTAAATAACTACTATTCATATACCTTATAAGTCATAACTGTGCTTAATAGATACTAAATGCAGTATGTTGGTCTTTATTTATTTATTTATATTAATCCAATGTTTGGCACCGATTTGCAAATTTGAATTATCCTTGCTGGCTGAAAAGTATAACTGTTACCTTCAGAGTTTCCTTATTGCAAATTCTTCACCTTTGTTGTTCCACTACCTCTTTTGGTTGTCATGTGGACATGTGCCCTTCAGTCTGGCTGTGGATGGTGTCTATTATAGATGATAATTTGATAAACATGCAATGGTAACTTATGAGTTTTGCTGGGATTAAATAACCTTTCTTTCATCCTCACATTTATTCACCAAAATAATGTAGGGAATGGCTAATACTGAGCTTCAGTTTGAAATTGCAATGAGAGATGAAGTTATCTACAACTTGAGGGAAGCACAATCAAACCTATGGAATTTACTTCTGAGCTTTGGACTAAGTAAGAAGCAGATATTGGATCTTGCTGCTAAACAAGGAATACTTATTGAAGACTGGAGAATGACATCACGACTTAAGCTGTCAGAAAGGATACAATGTCCAAGTCTGGGTGGTCGAAAATATCCTCCAGCTTCTTCTCCATCAACTTCTCAACACTTCATTAAATCATCTTGCAGCTTTCCACTAAATCAATATTTTTATGCTAGGTAATATTTAACTTGGAAAATTTCAAACTGCCCCCTATAGATTGTAGAGAAGAGCATCGCAGTTCATATTACTATTCTCATGACCAATCTCTATCAACTTTGTACAAGGCCTAATGGTAGTGAAAGCTGGAACAGTTCCCCCTCTGCCACTCCTGATAGATATCTCCAAGATTTTGGTACTTCACATCTACCACCAAGAAGCCAATTTTATTCATGCAGTGAGAGTAATATGCCTTCATCACTCTCACGCAGCAGCAGCAGGTATGTATGCAATTATTCACTCTGAAATTGACCTAGCAAAAGAATGTTCCTGCAATTATGATCATATTCTTCTTTCAATATCGATTAAAACTCATAGTTTTAGAAATTTGTCATCCCGTTCAAGTTCTGTTTCCTCACTAACCATACTCCTCAATCTTATAAACAATATGCGCAGATGAGCAGCCCAAGGCAGCAGTTGAATCAAGTCTCCATGCTGGATTAAGTATCAGCAATGATTTCTGTCATGAGTGGTCATGGATCGCAGGGTTCGATACTATACCAGACTCATTTCCATCCATGTATTGAACTGAACCTGCAAGATATCCCCCAGGTTCCGTTTAGTGTCCATTGCCTTGATTCTCAGCCAGCTTAGCTCTGTATAGAAACTTCTCCGGCAGTCCAAATTTGACGCCGTTTCAGAAGCTTCATAGTAATAGTTGAGGTTGAATAGGTTCATTTGTTGATATATATATATATATATATATATATATATATATATATATATATATATATATATATATATTGTTCGAGCACTACATCAAATAGATTCTACCTACTTTTAGGTGAAAATTTGTAAATAACAGCACACAAATTGTTATGCATAGGAGTTTTTACCCATTTTGGTCCCTTGTCTTTTTAAAATTATCCCAATTTGGTCCTCTGTTAGGTTTTGCGTCAACTGACGGTTAAATGTGGGAGTATTTCAGTCAATTCACCCCAATATTAATGTTATTGTGGAATTTTCCCAATTTCATCGCAACCGAAGTAATCCAACCGCCACTGACGGTCACCTCACTGGAAAAACTGAAGATCTCCGACATCTACCACAGCCTCACCAACCACATCCACCGCCGCAACTACCGTGACCTCTACCTCCGTCACTGCCATCATAAAAAAGACATCAGAACAAGCAAAATTGATGAAAGAACAAATTGCACTTTTGGTCCTGTGAGTATTAGGGTACTGACAATTTGAGTACGTGACTTTCAAAACTCCCAATTTAGACCTTTAACTATGTAAAAATTGACAGATTTGGTCCTCCGGGCCAAATTGCCGGCCAATTTTGGACTGAAAAACATAAATTGGTTCGAATTTATTTGTGTTGAGGGCAAAATCGTCATTTCACTCCCTTCTTCTTCATTCTCCCTTTCTTCTTCGTTCTTCTTCTTCTTTCTTTCTTCTTCTGTGCTGCTTTTTTACCGACCCAATACAATGCATGAGCCATGATTAATTAATTTAATAAAAAAAAATCATCTAAATTTCTCTCAAACCAAATTTGGTAAATCCAACAATCACCCATTTTCCATTCTCCTAAATACATAAAAATAAAACGGTTGTACATAAAAACATATATGTAATCAATAAATACATAAACATATATTGTTGGGTCATGAACTTTCTGAGCTCTGCCTGGGCAAACCGCCGCTGAAGTCCCTCTCCGTCTCCGCCACTGTCGGCGACGCCCTGTCCGTTCTTAGAAGCTCGGAAGGCATCTCCATAAGCGTGTGGATATAGTGATTTATATATGAAGATTATTTCATGAAGGGAATTTAAGAAAATTTTGCGAAATGATTAATATATTCTTTAACAATATAGAAATTCAAAATAAATTATTAATGATAACAAAAGCTACAAGTAATAGATTAAAGAAGCAGCAAAGAAGAAGAAAGAAAGAAGAAGAAGAACGAAGAAGAAAAAGAAGAAGAAGAACGAAGAAGAAAGGGAGAATGAAGAAGAAGGGAGTGAAATGACGATTTTGCCCTCAACACAAATAAATTCGAACCAATTTATGTTTTTCCGGCCAAAATTGGCCGGCAATTTGGCCCGGAGGACTAAATCTGCCAATTTTTGCATAGTTAAAGGTTTAAATTGGGAGTTTTGAAAGTCACGTACTCAAATTGTCAGTATCCTAATACTCACAGGACCAAATATGCAATTTGTTCATTGATGAAATTATAAAGAAGCTCAGAAAGAAAAAGGCAAAATTGATGAAATTATAAAGAAGCTCAGAAAGAAAAAAGGCAAAATTGATGAAGTTATAAAGAAGCTTAGAAAGAAAAAGGCAAAATTGATGAAATTATAAAGAAGCTCAGAAAGAAAAGACATCAAACAGAAAAAATTGATGAAATTATAAAGAAGCTCAGAAAGAAAAGACATCAAACAGACAAAATTGATGGAATTATAAAGAAGCTCATAAAGAATGGCGAGCAACGACCATCATCCCCGCTCGTTGCCTCGCCAGTGATTGGTATGGATTGGTTCCCCCGCCGTGATTGCCGCTGCTTCGAACCCTCTCAGGAATCTCAGACCCAGTCGCAACTGCAATCTCTCGCTATCTCCTTAGCGCGGTGACCGCCGTCGGCCCGGGCGAAGAACCCAACCAGGCGATCCGGATTGGATTTCCAGACGCTGAAGGCGAAGTTGATGGACTCGATATTGGGGTCGACATCTTCGTCATAGACGAGGACGGCGCGGGTCAAGATCAATTTATGCAGGTAGAACTGGAGGTTGAGGCTCGTAGATGGTTGCCGAATCACTGAGATTGAGGCGATCCGGATATATGTGAGGTTTTGCGAGAGCTCGGCTAGGGTTTGGCTTGAAGTGGAGGGGTTGCTCCAGAGAATAATCACGGTAGAGACAGAGTTTGTGGCGGCGGAGTATGTAGCGCCGATGGAATGGAGTAGTGGAATCCGATGCTCAGAGTAGCCGTTGATCAGAAAAGTCGCCCACAAAGTCCTAGAATAGTCATTTAGTGTGAATTGACTGAAATACCCCCACATTTAACAGTCAGTTGACGCAAAACCTAACGGAGGACCAATTTGGAATAATTTTTAAAAGTCAAGGGACCACATTGGGTGTAATTGAAAGTCGAAATGCAAAATTGAGAATGAGTCATAGCCAAGGGACCAAAATGGGTAAAAACTCTTATGCATAGTCTATTTTAACAGTGGAAAGACTTGCTTGCATATAGTAAGTAGTTCATAGGTGGTTTTAACTTGTAACATTTCTTAGAAATTGAAATATACCAGAAGTTTACGTAAATGATTATATGACTTGGTTTACAGGCATGAAGTGACTCTTCCAGATGAGAGATTATAGATTCGAGTTCAGTGGGAAAGGTATTGACTTTTTATGCTTCAATAGATTAAAAAAGTAGTTATATAATACTATATTGTTAGTAGTATTAAAAAAAAAAAAAAAAAAAAAAAAAAAAAACTGTTTTCGAACTACTGAACTAAAATAATGCAAATTCTGGAGAATCCTATTTAGCTGCCGAAAAGATCGAGGCGGATTCCGAAGGTGCTAGTCTTTCGAAGCAGCGATTGGGATGGCCACCTCAAAGACGGAACCAATGGAGTCTTTCAAGCCCTACAAGCTCAAGAAAACCCTTGAAGGCCACAAATGCGCCATTTCTGCGGTTCAATTCTCCGACAATGGCCGCCTCCTTGGCACCTCTTCTGCGGACAAGACCGCCCGGGTTTGGTCCGTATCTGAAGGCGCCCTTCTCCACGAGTTTCAAGGGCATGACCAGGGCCTCTCTGACCTCGCCTTCTCCTCCGACGCCAGGTATATCGCCACCGCCTCCGACGACAAAACCGCCCGCATATGGGACGTTGCTACTGGATGCCTTGTCAAAACCCTCTCCGGCCACACCAACTACGTGTTCTGCGTCAACTACAACCATCAATCCAATCTACTTGTTTCGGGCTCCTTTGACGAGACGGTCAGAATTTGGGATGTGAAGAGCGGGAAGTGCCTCAAGGTGTTGCCGGCGCACTCGGACCCCGTCACCGCCGTGCATTTCAGTCCAGACGGAAAATTGATCGCGTCGAGCAGCTATGATGGATTGTGTAGGATTTGGGATGCTTCCACTGGGCATTGTATGAAAACCTTGATTGATGACGAAAATCCGCCTGTCAGCTTCGTCAAGTTCTCGCCAAATGGAAAGTTTATTCTCGTTGGCACCTTGGATAATACATTGGTAAGTTCCTTCTTCTTTTGCTTATTATACGGAGTATGCTTTAAAGATTGAGTTTTGGAACTTATGGAGGCTTTCATTTACCTCCACCACTAGCATTTTACTTGCTGCTTGTTGAAATTAAGTGTTAATTGATATTAAAATTTCAATTTTCCTGCTAGACCTCTCTTATATATGCTAGACTAGATGTATGAAGCATTCCTGAATTCAATTTTAGGTGGAGAAATGCTTAATCTGTTGATCAAAATGTCATAGCATTGCTTGAACCTCTAATTCAGTTCTGCCATTACAAATGTGTGAAACTTCAGTGCTTTGCCTTTCCAATAATACATTGGTAAGTTTCTTATTTTTTGGGATCTTATCATTTTTTTCCTTTATAAGATACTTTCACCATTCCAGACGTAAGATTGGATTTTGGGAAGTAGATCTAGTTGTTTGTCTGTCTTGTTGAAGTTAAGCATTAATGAATTTGAAATGCGAACTTCCGGGTAGTGCTTTGGGAAAGCGCTTGTGTTTGTGGAGATTAAGGGTGAATTATAGACTGGTTAGAGCTTCTGATACGTATGGTCCAATGAGAACATCAATCTGTTTGATGGCTATAGCAGTTTTTGAATGTCAATCCTTTTATACATTGGGCATTAATAACATTCTTGAACTTAATTTGGGTAGAGGAAGAGTTTGTGCTTTTTGTCAAAATGATGTTGAAAACCATAGCAAAGAATGAATGTCTATATATGTTCAACCATTTAAACATATTCATGAAACTTTAATGGTTTATCCTTGAGTCTGCCTTCCCAATTCCTAATGTTAACGATGTAGATCAGACTAAGTTCATTTGATTTTATGTTAAGACACTACTGCAAAATTTGGCCTAGGTGGCTGCCTAGGCGCTAGGTGCCCCTAGGCTGAGGGGATTTTAGCCTTAGGCGAACATTAGTCAGCCGACTAGGTGCCCAAGTTGGGCAATTCGGCCGAGTGTGTTTTTTTTTTTGGTGTGCTGTTTTTCTTATTATTATTACTTGGCTGCCTAGGGGCTAGGCATCCCCCGAGCACCCGCCTAGCACCTTCTACAAAATTGATGTTAGATTGGGTATCTTGCTTTAATGAATGCCAATCTGGTCAGCCATAAAATCAAATTCACTTATGAATAAAGTAGGTGCCTGGAGAAATAGCATTGAAAAAGTGTTGGGCTACAAACATTCTTTTCTTGGGAAAAGGGTTTTATTGTTTCTTCATGTTCTTTGCCACTTGCCAGTTAAGAAAGCTTCAAACATGAGAAAGTTTGATGCCTTTCTAAGGAACATTTGTTTAAAATAATAATAATAATAATAACTTCTTTGGATAATACATTAATACACCACTCCATAAAGTTTGGTGGAAGCCTTTTTTTTTTTTTCTTTTTCTGGTTTTTCACTCTTCCCAGTCAATAGTAACTAATCCAACCCTTCTATTGGTTTGGCCATGGGTGTAATAAACTCCTACAGTGTCTTCTGCTCTTTTTTCACCATGGGGAAGGAAGAGCATTGTGAAATATGAAAGCGGAGAACCTTAAGAAAATAGTGTAGTGATTCTTAGAGACTTGGGTGATCATGAATCCTACCTGTCAAACTTTTGCCTCTTCATTGTTGGTTACAAGGATTTCTTTATGCTGAGTGAGTCGTATTACTTTTGTTCCCCTATATTTTATAAGTAACGTTTTATTTGTTTATTCTACTGCCAATCTGTTCCTAGAGAGACAGCAAACATGAAATTTGTATCCTTCCAATTGTTTCTTTGCTAGTTGTGATGTTACAAGTAGACTGAGTGCTTTGCTTCTGTTTTGCAGCGTCTTTGGAACTCTTCAACCGGTGAAATCTTGAAAACATACCGCGGGCATGCCAACTCAAAGTACTGCATTTCTTCAACGTTTTCCATAACAAACGGGAAATATGTTGTCGGCGGCTCTGAAGATAACTGTGTATATATGTGGGAGCTTCAATCCAGAAAAATAGTTCAGAAACTGGAAGGCCACTCTGATGCTGTTATATCAGTGGCATGCCACCCAACCCAGAACCTGATTGCTTCTGGCGCTCTCGGGAACGATAAGACTGTAAAAATCTGGACTCAGGAGTAGTAGGACTAATTTAATTTGTTTACTTACTCCATTACTCCTATCTGGTGATGATGAGTTTGTGAGGATGAATTTCATTTCTGCACTGAAGACTGAAGTAAAGGCCTTTCAATCTCTCTCATCTATAGTCACATATTTCAATCCCTAGCTAAAAGATCATTTCATTTGTAGTTCCAGATTGTATTGTATAGTAGGTGGTAAATGGTAATTGGTATGCTACATCATATCAATTCAACTCTGAATATCCAAGATAGAATATTGAAGAAAACATATTGGTTGAAAACCGGATCTAACGACTGCATCAATAAATATTTAGATTTCGAGTAATATTATATGTATTTTTTTAATTTTATTTTTTACTATTTGTTGACCGTTACATGCATTTATTGATCTAGAATAAACAAGTGACTTATTATTAAAGAAAATTTTCATTTTGATTGTGCTAAATATTTAATTTGAATAAAATAAAAGGACATTTAATTCAAGTTACATGTTTTGAAATCTCATAAAAGAAAATCTCACATTACTCAAGAGAATTGTATATAAATAAATCGGATAATAATCTAGAAAAATACATGGTTCGATATAATTTGTGAAAATTTTATTATTTGTACTAATACTGAGTCATTTTAATTGAAACTTTATTTAAAAGACTTATTTTTCTTTTTATTTCACATTAAAGAAAACTTATTTATTGTTTTCATACGAGGTACCAAAATATAGTGTGTACCATATGGGCGGACTCCAATACTCAATTAATAAATAGTTTGTCTAAATAACAATATCTTTTTATAGTCAACAATTTGGCCTTGGTCGATGAAAAAATTGTACGGTAAATACTTGGAATAATATAGTTCAAACTTCAAATACATGAGTTGGCGACTTAAACATACAATATTATTGTATCATTGAAGATAATGAGGGGTGTATTTTTGGGCCATTTAAATTTATTATTTTTTTAATGGTGGGAAAAGCACCCGGGATAATGGACCATGATCATTAATTGTAGGTTAATGACCCTATTTGGAATATTGTGGAGATCTATGCGTAATGTTGTGGGATTTGTCCTTTTGGGTTATTGTTGTCTTTGGACTTATTAAGTCTATTAGATCGTTAGACCTAAACTATATATGTGGGTTGCAATATGTGTGGACAAGTGAACGCAAAACTACACAACGTAAAACTAAAATGTGCATCTTATATAATATATAAATACAAACTAAAGCTAAAAAAAAAAATGTGACCACTCAAAACTACAAAGTGCACCTACATGTTCTTTTATTACACTTTTACAATTCATATGGTCTACACATCCTCCCGTATATTTTTATATCATTAAATAATGAATACACCGTGGTTTTGTTCGATAACGTTTGCACATTAATACACATTTATATTTGATCTTTCATATATCTAAAATCTAAAAACATAATAAGTGTGAATGAAAGTTATATCCCTGATTTATGTCCGTTTTTTTCGTTAAGTTTTTTTGTACATTATGCTATAAAGGTTGTACATTAAAATATTTTGGACAAACATACCCCTACCGTTATAACTTCTGTTATCTTTTTCACTATTGTTACCATACACATGCATCCACCATATTTTCTTATCTTCTTCATTAATAATAATATATACACATTAAATATTTGAGTTATATGTTAATTATTACATAAATATAAATATCAAATTTATAAAAATAATTTACATTATTATTATTATTATTAAGAATAATTTAAAAATCTAAAATCTAAATAAATTTAAAATTTTAATATAATGTATTAATATTGGGCACCTATTTTTTGCGCATCACGCATAAAAAACACTAGTATATACATACACACTATGAATTTAAATTTCACATGCTATTTAATTTCAAAATATTCATTTAATAATTTATTTTGTCTCTATATCCCCATTCCTCATCATGTTCATTCAATCATTTGCCCCCACCGACCGGCCTCCCTTTCTTCTCCTCTTCTCCCTCGACCTTATCCCACGTGTGTAATTTGCTACATCAATGCGGGGTACATATATGTTATAATTAATTTAATTAATATTATCCTTTGTTCTTACCTTTTAGATCTGATGACACGCAATGCTAGAACGTGTAGTCAATTATGTTAATTAAATTATAATAATAAAATAATTAGCAACGAAGCTTTGAGTACAGTGTGGTCACATGTGCGAGATTACCGTATCTTAGCCAAATCAGAGTTGCACATGTCATATTATATTATTAATCTCGAAATTGACACTCATTTCATCCACTATACAATACTACAACTCTACAAGTACCTAGTAATTAATTTTCTTAGATCATCACCCTCAATGTTTTTTTTTTTTTTTTTTTTTTTTTTTTTTTTTAGTAAAAACCAAGTGTGCAGTTTTTGCACAAATAAAAGATTGAATTTTTTAGTGTTTTATTCTCTTGTAAGTGCAAAACTTTTGTGGTGTTCACTGATTAAAAAATGAAAACAAAGCTCTCTGCTTCTCTCAGCGTGTTGGAGACGCAGGCACCCAATCGAGCGCGTGTACTGCGTCAGACCTCTTTTTTTTGTTTTTGTTTTTGTTTTTTTTTATTTTTATTTTTTTTTGTTTTTGTTTTTGTTTTTTTTTTGTTTTCCTTATTTTCTCTCTCTCTTAGTGACATTTAAAAAACTGTGTAAAGTTCAAAGCTGATGAGGATGCTCTTATAACCCATATTTTTGTTAGAAGAAAACAAAGAAAAAAAGGGATGAATTTATTGATGAAAACAAATTATGCATGCCTATTTATACATTTGACAGAGGAGAATTTTGTTGTAGTAGCATAATTTTTTTAGCTTATAAAACTATTTGTCGATGAGTTGGTGTTGTAGTTATAACCAAAAAGATGAAAATGATTTATTTTCAAACAAACGTTTCAAGATTTAAAAAAAAAAAAAAAAAATCAATCTTATTTGATAGGCAGGGGCGGCACCCCCAACCCTCACCCCACTCCACCCCAAAAATTTTACGGGAGTAATAAATATGTATGTATATATTATTATATTAGGAACAAAAGATCTCTTTTGGATCCCCTTAATTTTTATTTTTATTTTTAAATTTAACTATGTATATATTAAATAAGTCTGGCCAATCAGATGGAGTGTTCTCTTTTATGTGGGAAGTTATGAGATTGAGTGGAGGTGTTATTGACTCTTTGTGCATATTTGAACAAATACTATAATGTAATAAAGTCAGTAGCATTATTAAATAAACCTTAAACATATATTTAAGTCCAAATAATTAATTATTTATTTACACTTTTAGGACGTTCATTTGCTAATTCAAAAGATTATTTTTGAAATTGAAAAAACTAACGTTAATATTTGTTCTTTAATTCGTGATTTTGAGTTTTGTCCTCATCATCTCTCAAATTTTTAGAATATTAATTTAATTAGTAAAATAAATATTAGTTAATTATGTAAAAAAAAAAATGTTGCCAACAAAGTGCAAAGTAATTCAAAACTTTTATTTGATAAAAAAGTAACAAACAAGATTATTATTGTATATATTTTGTGTTATATGTAAAATTATAAAGTATCAATTGACATTAATGTCAATCGTCACATAAAACATAATTAAAAATTATGAATCATACTCCGTAGTATATTTAGGTATGATAAATATAATAATATAATATATGATCGGTACTGGTATTAATTGACATGGTAAATTATGTTATAATTTTGGTCCTCCTAACATGAAATTTTTTGGCTCCATCACTGATAATATGTGGTTAAACAAATATGCAAAAGATAAATATTATTGTTATTATTATTATTATTATTATTATTATTATTATTATTATTATTATTATTACTATTATTATTATTATTATTATTATTATTCATGTGAATGTGAATACAGGAAGAGGAGTTCAATTATTTCATCCATAATTGTTATGGTTGTAAATGTGAATACAGGAAGAGGAGTTCAATCATTTCATCCATTATTGTTATGGTTGGTTTTACAATTTTTGGACGGTCATCGATTGGCTAATAATTGCATTTGTTGGTATTTACCAATTAAAACAATTAGCCAAAATTTCATTTATTTGTTAATGATACGGTCGATACGGATTAGTACTGGTATGTTGTTGGGCGTCAGTCAGGTTGGCTGAGTTTAACTTATGTTTGATTCGAGACGTGACACTGTGGTTTATTATGGATATATGTAGTTAAATGATTAATGTTCACTTACTTATCATTAATTAGTTTTAAGTACAATATGATAACCAGATAGTTAAAGAACTATGTGGTTAAGCGTGCAGTGCTTGACTTACACCACGTTGAGATTCATCAATTGGTATCAGAACCGAGATCACAGGTTTGAATCGATGATGAGGATAGGTGCCACTCACATGATGAGTAATTCACAAGGAGGTAATCATAGTGCAACACTGAGATCCATCATATGTGCCTCTTGCATCTAATATAATTAAAATAAATAGAAAAGACTTTGAATTTGTCCTGGGCTATCTTCACATATGTTATATAACTTTAAATTTTTCATCAAAACTTTTTTTAACTTGTATATGATGCAAAAGACCAATCATTATATCGTGCACCAGGGCGCACAATGCATTGTGTGCCCTGCCTGCAAAACGACGTCGTTTTTTATGTTAAGATTTTATGTGTATTATGTTAAAAGTTTATGTGTATTTTGTTAATAGTTTATGTGTATTCTGTTAAGAGTTTATGTGTATTATGTTAAGAGCTTATGTGTATTCTACTATACAATTATGTATATTCAAAATAGGGGATTTTTTTTAGAAGTTAACGGCAGAAACAGAAAACGGAATTTAAAGAAAAAAATAGATACAAAATGACATCGTTTTGACAGGATGTACAATGCATTATGCGTCCTGGTGCATGATATAATTTGCCTACAAAAGACACTGCTATTGAATATTGATTAGCACCATAAACTCTACTTCTTCCCGCCTCGGCCCAATTCCACTCACACGAGTCGTTATGCTGTGCATCCGTGTGCACCATGCATGTTGCACACGGATGCAAAAACGACGTCGTTTTGACGTCGACTTAAAAAAAAAATCAGAATTACATAACTACATATCTATAATTTCATAACTATATATCCAGAATTGCATAACTACACATCCATAACTTCATAACTATAAATCCATAATTGCATAACTTCATAACTATACATTCAGAATTGCATAACTACACATCCATAATTTCATAACTATAAATTCAGAATTGCATAACTATACATCTATAATTTCATAAATATACATTCAGAAATTATGCACAACATAATGTTGTTGACGGGAATCGGAACTGAATTTTTTTTTTTTTTTTAAAGTTGGACGCGCATTTTTAATCAAAACGACGTCGTTTTTGCATCAAGGTGCACACGGATGTACAACATAATTTGCCCACTCACACACGTGTATGTATGTATGGCGTGAGACTGAATATAAATTCATAAAGAATGTTACTTTAATTCACTATATATGGACGTACCTAACTTCAATTCAATAATCCAAATGATAAGGTATTTTATCGTTGTTTTGTGCGATATGATTTGTAATAGAAAGAGAGATGATGTCACGTTTTGATGTAAACAATATTTTGGATGAAAAAAAAAGATTAATGAAATGAGATTAAAAAATAGTACTACGTAATAAATAATAATTAAATTAATTATATCATCTAATTTAATTACTATCAATAACAAAAATAAGTATAAATTTAGTCTTTTTGTTGCTCTAGTCTATTAGCATTTGAGAGTATGTAAGTCAAATAGTCAATTGAGGCACATTCCTCACTTTACCTTTTTCAATCATTGTCAAGACATGAGTAGTAAAGGATACTTAAGGTGAACGATGGTCTACAAATTTTATCTCGTTAATTTTTTCTTTATTTTTTTTACAATATATATATATATATATATATATAAATTTACAAGTATTAAAACCATTACTTTAGATACATAAAACTGATAAAAGTATATACTATAAGTATATAAATTCACTACTGTACCCGCATGCCCCACTATTATGTTAAAAGTCATACTTGTTTGAAAGAGAGATCCTATTATTGAATCCTCGTGCATCATATGTGAATTGAACAACATCCTTAGAACTTAGCTATTAAACTCAACCTAGATGAGTTAGTCCAATGTATGTGAAATTAACATTAGGAAACGTGGGAAATAAGATAAAATTATTATATTCTCAATAAGTGTTATACATATATGCCAATTTTTAATGCTATGTTTAATTATTGTGTGTCCATTCCCCCGAATGACTCCAAAACAATATAATAAAATTATCATAAAAATCCCCATAACCAAAGTCGATTATAATAATATTTTTTTTACCACGTCACATTAATCTGAGAAGACACTGTAGTATGAGCAATGATACAACACACTTCACACTCTCTTCCCCTCTTATATATACTCTATCTATGTATGCCTGTCTTTCATTAAATAGCTACAATTGCTCATATCCTGAGAGGCCATCATATATATTGCTCTTATATTTTACTACACAGTTATTTTTTTTTACCTTCTTTAACGTTTACTTGTCAAGGGTATTATATGGACGTTTCACCAGGCTCTTGCTTCTCCGAACAGGTAAATTAGAAACTGTCATTTTACTAAAAATGATTAAATCATACAGTAAAAAGAATAAAGTTAACGGTTGGATTTTACAGGATTTTGACGATCTAATTTTCAACGGTGAAGATGAGATTATGAACACCATTGAGGAGCTAGCGGCGGCACTCGGGGAAGATTTGCCGAACGCGTCGTCAACGTCGTCGGAGAGCGTTGACTCTGCGTTGACCGGCAAGCGAAGCCCGAGCCCGAACGTTGTTGAAACTCAGGAAAGGGTTCCCAAGCAGCGGAAGCTTCATCACGGCGTCGTCCATGGAAAACCCGACCATACTACGGCGGATCTCAGTCCGTCGTCGTCTACCCCGTTCATCCTCTCCTTCGGCTACCCCAATAACTGCTTTCCGCAAAAGGGGGAAGACATCATTTTAGAAACCTTAAAACCTGAAATCCCGGCGACCGTCGACGCCGCCAGAAAGAAGATCAACAGTAGCGGCCGTGCCTCGAAGCTGCCGTCGAACACCTACGATCACATCATGGCGGAGAGAAAGCGCCGGCAGCTTCTCAGCCAACAATTCCAAGACCTCTCCACCATCGTCCCCGGCCTCAAAAAGGTAAAAATTACTCCGTATCATATAAGGATTATCTGATCTAACATTAAATTTCCTAAAACTCACAACCTAGAACGATTCAACGTTGTCGATTCAGATGGATAAAACCTCGGTGCTGGGGGACACGATAAAATACTTGAGAAATCTACAGGAGCGAGTTAAGAATCTGGAGGAGCAAGCCAGCAAACAGACCATAAAGTCGAACGTATACGTTCGGAGATCGCAGCTGTTAATCGAGGACGAAGGATCCTCGTACGAAGACAGCGGCTCCGGCGAGCAGTCGCTGCCGGAGATCGAGACGAGAGTGAGCGACAGAAACATTCTTTTGCGGATTTACTGCGAGAAACACAGGGGTGTTCTCACCAACATTTTCACTGAGGTTGATAAGTTTAACCTTAGTGTAACCAACACCAGCGTTTCACATTTTGGGAGTCTCGCACTCGATATCACCATTATCGCCGAGGTACGATTTTTTTCATTTTTTAATTCTTATTCTTAGCTTGCACAGTAATAATTGATTAATTATAAAATTAAAATTTAACGTAATGATGATGCAGATTAAATAGTTTTCAATAATATTATTATAATCCATCCATCTACTTCCACCACATTCTACCAATATTATTGTTGAAACTCGATTTGATTACATCCCTAATTAATTTTTTTCTTTTTTTTTTTGGAATTATTAGATGGAAAAGGAGAAGGATTTGTCCGTAAAAGATCTGGTGAAAGGAATACGTACAAGTCTGCAACATGCAACACGAGCATCTAAGAAGTCAAAATAAATAATTTTATCAAAGACCTCGTGATCGAGTGACATAACTGTGGTCCCTCAAATGAAAAGGAAAGAAGTCAAAATAATTTACGGAATATTTTTTTTTTGAAAGCTAATTTACGGAATATAATTACATATACTTTCATTTTTTATTTGAGGGTGATGATACACTGTTATGGTTTGTACAAGCCCTAAAGTATATGAAAAATTTGACAAAAACAACATTTCAAGAAGTCCTAATCACTGAAGTATTTGATTGTAGACTTATAGATATTAGATGAGATGTCCTAATCATGCTTAAATTGTGGAAATTATGGCTGCCTTATATTGTACCACTTGTAGTCATGCCATGGGCCCCTGGCACATTGCTGTAACATCTATTCATTGTTCAACTAACCCCAAATTATAATGTATAAATTAATTAATTCTGCTCACAAAATTATTATTATTATTTTAAAATACCTGCTCCTAGGCTATTTTGTCTTGAATGCCAATGTAGAAGGCACATTTAACTTCTTATAGTATCATATCGAAATTAATTTTCCTTTACACGGGACCGGCCCAATTAAGGAGCAAAATAGTTATATTGATTTTTCTATATGAGATGGAGTTTAAATAGTTATTTCGATTGAATTATGACGACTCTGTAGGAGGTACCTTTAAGCCTGTATCATGCTTAGACTAATCCAATTATTCGCATGGGTTGGCCCAATTAAGGGGTAAAGTGCCTAGTTAGATTGATTTTTTTCTATACTAGAGGGAGTTCAACCTCCCGACCTCGCTTAATGGATGAGAGTGCACGATCACTCACTCCAACCAAGCTAGTTATTAATTTGACCATATTGTTTCTTTAAATTTAAATATGTTTCCAAATTTAATTATACTTTTACATGTTAAATATGATAAAGATTAAAATTAAAGATATTAATTACTATATAATGTGATGATATCTCTGATTCTGAATGTGTTAACATTTCAAATGGGTGTTCATAAATTTAAGTACTTTTAGTTGGCTGATAAAATTAAAGCTTGCCCTAGGCTATCCCCATCTCAAAAATTACCCCCTACTTCTAGATGATGTGGCTTTTTGTTAGCAATTCTCTTTTATTTTATTTTGCCATGTCACTTAGCAAGCTTGCTGTTGACAGCTTTTGCTGCATTGACTATATATATATGTGGTTTTGGTTAATGATTTTTATTTTGTTATTAACTAATTTATTTTAATGCTTAATTATTATTTAGTTTATTTTTAAATTATTGTATTGAAATTTGTTATGTATAAGTTTTTAAATCATTTTTAAAAATTACGTTTTTGAATTTTTTGTATAACTATTTTTAATATTTAAAAGTAATTTATTTTAAAAATTACTCCGGATGTTTTTTGATTTGAGGTCATTTTTATTATTTTTAGTGTTTAATGTAATTTATATATTGATATAAATTAATATATAAAGAAGAGAAAATAATATTTATTGTGAAAAAGATATTAATTTTTAAAGTGATGTGAAATTGGGGCCTACTTTAAAAAGTTGGTTGAAATTGTAGGAATGTGGTGTGAATAGTAAATGATTTGTGAATTGGGTGATGTAAAAGTGGGACTTATTTTAGAAAGTGAGAGAGAGTTGTTGGGATGGGGTTAGCCGATTAATAAGACTATCGTCAACCCTAAAATTTTGGTTCTTTCAAAGTGACATGGCAAAAACAATATCACTATATATTAATTGAAATTCTCTTTTAAATATGATGTGGCTTGCAAGTTGCAATCCTTGCTAAGGCTGTCCTTACCCCTGCAAATATGGTATTGGCAAAGTGAAGTGGAAGATGACATGTCATTACTCAAGTTATTTTTCTTTTGTTTTAATGCCAACTGGCTTGCAAATTTGCTTAAATAGTAAATTTGCAAGCCAGTCTTTTGGCAGCTTTTGCTCAGCAAAAGCTGCGGAGCAATTGACTTTTTATTTTTTGTTTAATTTTTAATTTTGTTTATTATTATATTTATAATATAATATGAATGTGGGACCTATTTTTTAGAGTGAGATGAATTTGTAGGGATGTAGTGTGAATAATAGATGATTTGCAAATGGAATGATGTGGAAGTGGGACCCATTTTTGAGAGTGGGAGATGTTTGCAGGGATAAGGACAGCCTAATCTAGCCAGGATTGCAAGTCTTGGAAATTGTGGCCAAAGTGCAATGCATTAAATATGAGAGAGAATTTAGGTTTTTTATTTTTTTTTATATACTTTTGTCATGTTTTAATGATTTAAATAATAGGGAGTATTATTATTAAAATGTGATGTGAAATATGGTCTCACTTTTAAAAATGTGTTAAAATTATAAAGGTGTAGATAAAATAGTGAACAAATTATAAATATGATGGTGTGAAAGTAAGACTCATTTTTAAGAGTGAGAGAGTATTGAATGAATAAGGATAGCATAAGATGATGATTTAACTTGCCAAGGGCAATCGTGTCATTGGTAAGAGGGCTTAATATAAATATCACGCTCTGCATTGCAAAGAGCATCTTCTACTACACATTACATATTATATTAATCTCTGTAATATTAGCTGGTCAGGTAGCCTTGATCCTAACCACCAACTTGTTGGTTAATTTATTTTTAAAAAATCTCGAAATAACAACCACAAATACAAAAAAAAAAAAAAAAAAAAAAAAGATTTATAATCTTGTTTGGGAGAAGATTTATAATCTTGAAGATTATAATCCCAACTAACATATATATAAATATATATATAAACAAAAAGATTTAAAATTTATCAATATAATCCCACTTATGGAAGAAAATGAGAAAAAATGAAGGATCCAAGTGGTGTGATACTCACATTGTCTTTAAAATCGATTCGCTACCTCCCGAGGTGCTAGGAGTGTTGTAGTATCAGTCTTCCAAGATAAAATGATCAACTATAGTTTGAGTACATCTTTGGCGAACTAGAACAATAAGCTTGAACACAATCAATTTTGAAAAATAAATGAGCAGAGTTTTGAGAGGAAGACAACCTAGGAGTAGAGAGAAAATGATTTTCCATAGCTCTAAAATTCGGTCCAAAAACATAAGTATATATGAGGGACTAATTGAATTTCAGCATCAAGTATCACACGTAAATCCAATTTAATAATTAGATTAAAACGTTTGAAACAGTTATATTTATTATAAAAATAATACAAACGGTTACGAAATTAATATACAAAAATTTGAGTGGCCAAGAAGTCCGTATGTCTGAAAAGTAAATTAACCTTTCTGAATTAATCTGAAATTTCACTGCACTACGAACAACCATTGTTTCAAAAAACCCGAACAGTCAACTGCTCTAAAGGTGCTATAAATTGCACCTTTCGTGAAAGGTGCTGCATGAGCACCAAAGTGTTAATATTAATTAGCACAACCTTTAAATCCAACAGGGTAGTTCAAGTCGCGGGTGTATACAAGTCAAGCCTTTTCAAACTCAAATTTTCTAACTTAGATGAATCTACTTTGATAATTAATTTCTCATTCACCCATTAACCGTTTTGAGAGTACAATATATCAATTTTTTGTCTCAATATAAAGAACCCGAATCCACTTTGACCCGATTCAAATTGAAAGTGGACCCCACATATATTTGTACCACAAAATAGCCACTCAAAATTGTCATTAACTCTCAAATAAGCATTAACTCTCACATGGAAAAATAGCTTTAAAATGACTTCTTTTTTTTTTTTTTTTTTTACAAAGGAAGGGTATCATTAACTCTCACATGGAAAAATAGCTTAAAAAAGACATTTTTTTTTTACAAAGAGGGATACCCATACAATCTATGCCTACAACGAGGCTCGAAACATAGACCTCCCACATAAATGAGCAATTTGATACCAGTGAACCACAACTCACTAGGTTTACTTAAAAATGACACTTAAGTGACTATTTTAAAAATGACATTTTAAGTGAGATTTCAAGTTTTTTACTTTACGTTCATAAAGCGAAAGTTTGTAACAGTTGCAAGTATGTACAAAAGGTTGTTACATTATAAATGGGGAAAATGACATTTTTTTTCAGAGTTATATACTTATACTACTTTTTCTCCATGAATTATTTATGTAAGTATATTAATTCCCTTAATTATTTTAATAGTGACAATTTTTCCCCTGATATATTAAATTGACATTTCTACCTTTAAAATAAATATTTTATTTATTTTTCTTCTCCAATAAATTATTGCGTATATGTAGGGATGACCACGGTTCGATTCGAATTGAACTGAATACTATAACAATCAAATTAAAAGTTTCTGATTATGATTCAAATCCAGAATCCAATATTTGTATTTTAATTTATTAAAATTATGAATCTAAAAAACTGGATCCTAAACCGTGAACCAACGGTTCCGATCCGGTTCGCGATTTTGAACCGTATTTATTTTAAAATAATCTAAATTCAACAATAAATGTATTTTATTTTTTCAGTTCGGAACATGAACCGGCCGTCCCGGTTCGCGATTTTAATAAACTCTAAATATCGGGTTTCGATTCTAAATTGTAATTAGTATATTTCGGTTTGGTTGCTATAGTATCTGTTTGGTTTGAACCAAATTGTGGTCATAATTTGTTGAAGAAAAAAAATAAATGAAATATTTATTTTAAAGGTAAATATATCCATTTAACATTTCAGGAAAAAAAACAACCACTTAAATAATTCAGGAAGTAAAAATCTCATATAAATATATAACTCAAAAAAATGTCATTTTCCCTTATAAATACACAAGTCACAAATAAATAATTAATCAATTATAAATAAATCTCACAAATCAAATGTATAGATTTCAAATAAAATTTCATAGATAATTATCTTTTTTTGTTTTTTCTTCTTCACGGTACACAAGGGCCCACATAAATTAATCTTGTCGGGTAAGACGTTAAGGTCTTATGGTTCAAACTTGAAACCTGGTTAAATTGGAAAACAACTCGCCACTCATCCACCGCAAATTATGCCGTGGAATCGTGTTCACCGAGAATGGTGAACACAAGTCAAAACGACGTTGTTTTTAGGCAAAAAAAAAAAAAAAATCACGGATGTGGAGTTAACGGCGCGTTACTGATCAAATTATGAATTTTCTGTTATGAGATTATGAATTTTATGAAAATTCATAATCTCATAACAGAAAATTCATAATCGCATAACAGAAAATTCATAATCTCACAACTGAAAATTCATAATCTCATAACAGAAAATTCATAATCTTATAACAGAAAATTCATAATCTCATGGTTCCAAAGTGAATGTGTAGGCATGGTTCCAAAGTGAATGTGCAGGCATGGATTCATAATTTATGAATGTCCGTGATTTCGGACGGGAATATGTAGGCATGGTTCCAAAGTGAATGTGCATGCATGAATTCATAATTTATGAATGTCCGAAACTCCGAAATTATGAATGTAATGAA